TCTATTTTTAGTTTTTTAAGGAACCTCCATACTGTTCTCCATAGTGGCTGTATCAATTTACATTCCCACCAACAGTGCAAGGGGGTTCCCTTTTCTCCACACCCTCTCCAGCATTTATTGTTTGTAGATTTTATGATGATGGCCATTCTGACTGGTGTGAGGTGATACCTCATTGTGGTTTTGATTTGCATTTCTCTAATGATTAGTGGTGTTGAGCATCCTTTCATGTGTTTAATTGGCAATCTGTATATCTTTGGAGAAATGTCTCTTTAGGTCTTCTGCCCATTTACTATCTTTTTAAAGTATATTACTTTCCACTATGCTATGCATAACGTACGTATAACTGTTAACTATTATGTTTCTGTTGAAATTTGCCAAAAAATGACATAATAATTTGGGGAAATTGTTTTTATAAGTCTATAGAAGAGAAGCTTTCTCTAGCACAGGAGGACTTGATTTCAAATAGAAATCAAATTGGAAACCAAAATAAATTGATTCAAGAACTGAAGACCACCAAGGCTACTTTGGAGCAAGATTTAGCAAAGAAAGAACAGCAATTGAAGGAGCAGAGTAAAGCACTACAGGATATACAGAAAGAAAAGGTATTTTATTTTCTGACTAAATCTAGAATCTTAGTATTTAAAATTAAGAACCAGCTTTTTCTAAAGGTAAGTAGGGGTGTATTTTATATAAATGATGCTAAGTTATAAAGTTGAAAGCATTGTGTTATGACTAGTATGTTTAAAGATCAGTTAAAATTTTATATGAGAAATTCAAATTCTAGGAAACATTTTTTGGTTTCATAATTGAAATTTTATATTTCCATCAGCTGATATTATTCTGAAGTGTACAGTTCCTGAAGTTCTTGGTGTATTTTATTTGTGCAGTTCCTGAATTATGTGTTTTTTTATTTTTTGCTGCACTGTGTGGCTTGTGGGATCTTACTGCTCTGACCAAGGATCAAACCCAGGCCCTTGTCAGTGAGAGTGCGGAGTTCTAACCACTGGACCGCCAGGGAATTACCTCTGAATTATTTTTAAAAATTGGTGGATGTTTTTGTAGTGATGGCGCTGGTGAGGCTGGCATGAAATTTATGATTTGTGCCTCAAGGTTAGAAAATTCTGACAGAACTATAGTTTAGAGGCCTTTAATTACAAGGGTTTTAGATCAGGCAGATCTTGTTTTAGTTATATGGTTCTACTTTTAATAGCTTATTTAACTGCTCTAAGTCTTTGCTCCTTTACCTATAAAATGATTAAAAAGAGCTACCTGGCATAGAGATTAGATAATGTACACTCCTCCTCCCTAGGCGCCCTATATAAAGATAGTGATGATGATAATAAGCATAAGATGGTAGTTTTAGCTAAACTTTAGCCAGGCACTATTAATTTTAATAGTTACTGTAACTATTTAATCCTTATAACGATCTTATTGTTCGTATTGTATAAATAAGGACACAGAGGCAAGAGAAGGTAAATAATTTGCTCAAGTTAACTAAGGTGGAAGGGGCAGAGAGAGTCATAAATAGTAGCAGTCATTTTTGTTATATTACTTTTAATTTAAAACTTTAATAAATCTTTTCTATAGTCACTGAAAGAAAAAGAACTAGTAAATGAAAAATGTAAATTGGCAGAGATAGAGGAAATTAAGTGTAGACAAGAAAAAGAAATTGCTAAATTGAGTGAAGAACTCAAGTCTCACAAGCAAGAAAGCATAAAGGTATGTGAAGATAATCATTGTTTTTCCTTTTGTATTGTATTAGTGTTGTTAAAAATATTTGTGTATACATATTTATTTATTTAATTTATTTATTTTAGGACATACTATGTGCCAGGCACATTGTTTTGCTGTTTTTTGACAAATACTCTCGCTCTCACAGTGCTCGTGTTGCATAATATCTATACACATTGAAACTATGTTACCTTTGTTTTCAAATTACTTAATAAAGCAGAGTAACCCTAAAAGTTTAGATTTTATTGAGGTGATAATCGACAGAGCTATCCATTATGCTTACAGATAGTAAACTTCAAAATATGTAAGAGTTTAGAATTAAGATTTTAAGGGATTGTTTTTTTAATCGTTTTTCTTCCTAAAATCCTTTAATAATCTGTTGTTTAGAACATTTTTCCTATCATTAGCATGACTGGCATGCCACCTGAAAAAATTAACTGCTTATAATTTGCTTTGTAAAGTGTTTGTAAAATGTCATTTTCTTAGAGAAAGGTTGGATTTTCCCTTGAGTGCTCTCATAATACCTCTTATGTCTATCAGTATACTTGCCATTTTGCTTTATAATTACTTACCTCTTTATGTCATTATGTTCTTCCAGACTGTGACTTCCTTAAAGCAGGGACTGTATATAATTCATCTTTATATATATATCCCTAGAACCTGACACAGTGTGCGATGCCTAAATGTTGAACCAATAAATGCCTCCTAAATGAAGAAAGGGAAAATAAGGGGTAGAAAATTCTCACATAATTTAATCAAAACATATGCATGCAAAGCATCACTTGAATTTAAATGATTGTTGAGCAGGAAGTACATAATATTTCACCTTTTTAATCAACTGTTTGAAATACTGAACTTTAAGACTCTTGTAAGAGGCTAAAACTCTTTGTTTATATTGTAATAAGTTGCATAAATTTCAGCTACATTTTTTTTTTTTTTACCATAAAGGATGACTTATTTTGGCCTTTCTCATAGGAGGTAACAAATCTCAAGGATGCCAAACAGCTTTTGATTCAGCAGAAATTAGAGCTTCAAGGGAAAGTAGATTCCCTAAAGGCAACCCTTGAACAGGAGAAGAAAGCCCAGCAAATGCTAAAAGAGCAGATGAAAAAGGAAGAAGATGAGCTGAAGAAAGAATTTATGGAGAAGGAAGCTAAACTGGTAAGTTAGTGGTGGGAGGTGTGTTTTTTAATTGATTTTGTAAATTAATCCAGTTAGAGAGGATTTTTCTACTTAAAAATTATGATTCAAATGCTCACCTAACATTTAATTTTTGATTTAAGACAAGAGATCTGATTTGTCTAAATAGCTGACATGTGATTGGAAATATTTTATTCTGTGATTATATTTTGGTTTATATAAGTGAAAATTCAATAAAACATGATGGGGGGGCACTTTTAGTGCCAGAAAAACAAACAAACCTATAACTATGTAGATTGAGGTAAATGGCATGAATGCTAATCATGTTAAACTCATTTGTTTGTTCAAACTGAATGTTGATAAGGGGGAACGAATGGAAACTTCAGTTTGGAATTACAATGACCAAAGTCTACTTTTCCTTCCCTAACTTGTGCATGCCAAATGGGAAGCATCTGGCTTTCCTCTGTTGAATTAAGTCCAGATAGCCCCAGATAAATTGACTGCTGAATGTTTTCGTTGAAGAACTGCAATTTCAAGTTCACACAGTGATTTGAAGTACTGTTTTTTTGGCAGGTTGATAGAGACAAAAGGATGCATTTGGAATTTGAGACATAAGAAAATGCTAGCTCTATCTCCAGGGCACCTTGCTATCCCTAACTATGTGTTTTTCCCCTGTTCTAGTGGAAAAAAGGAAAATCTCAAATTGCTTTACTTTAGTTTGATCTTATAAGAGGCTTGCTGACCACCATTTCAGTGTTATGACCACTGTCAGTTCAAATTACACAGATGTTTGTGGAATCAGTTTTATCAGTGCCTTCTTCCCTGAAGAAGTAATATTATTTATGTTGCCAATATTTAAAGTTCAACAACTAACTTAAATTTTGCACTACTTTTGTAATAGGTTTTTTACCCACTGTTTTTCCTTTTCTCAGCTTTCCGAAATAAAAGGAAAAGAAGTAGGAATGAAGCAGCATGAAGAAAATGAGACTAAACTTACCATGCAGATTACAGCATTAAATGAAAACTTGGGCACCATAAAGAAGGAGTGGCAGTCCAGTCAACGGAGAGTCAGTGAGCTTGAGAAACAGACGGACGACTTACGGGGTGAAATTGCGGTATTGGAAGCAACGGTTCAAAATAATCAAGATGAAAGGAGGGCACTACTAGAAAGGTGGTTGATGTCTAGTAAAATTAGTTTATTTCCATGCTAAGTGATAAAAAGGTTGTTGTATTCCACATTTAAAAAAATAGAAGTCTTGAGAAAAGTGCTCCTGCAGGTATTTAAGTAGCCATTTAAAAATTAACCCTTACAACAGAGTTGAAATTAATGTATTATGTTTAAAGTTACTAAAGTAGTTCATTATCTGTGTTCAGAGAGGGTCTTTAATGATTTTTTAAAAATGAATTGTTTTTGCAATCTATTTCAGGTGTCTTAAAGGAGAAGGTGAAATAGAAAAGCTTCAAACCAAAGTACTAGAATTGCAAAGAAAGCTGGATAATACAACTGCAGCAGTGCAGGAACTGGGCAGAGAGAATCAGTCCCTTCAAGTGAGTCACCTGGTGTATGAGGCAGTTTTTTAGTCTAGAATTTACCTCTTAGTGAAAAGCATATTTTCAGCATTTAAAAAAAATCTCATATTTAATAATACTTTTGAATGGCTACTGCCTGTGTAGCAGTATTGCAGGTGTTACAGGTAATTAAATATAAGATTTAAAGAACTTATCTGAGACCCCAATGATTAGAGAGCCACATCATTCATGAATTGTCATTATTGGGACGAGCACAAAGGAATGAATGAGTTACTATGTGATAAAGAAGTGATCTGAGCATATGCTCAGAGTTCCAAGGAAGGATTGATCCTTAGGGTTAGAATGAATGGGAAATCACCAAAGGTTAGAAATTACCAATGCCTTTGAGGTATAAAACTTGCTTTGCTTTGCTTTATTTATTTATTTATCTATTTATGTATTTATTTATTGTCATTCAGACTTAATTATGTAACAACTTTTGATAATGGAAGTTGACCAAAGTATTTCTGATTTTTAAAATTTTATCCATTTTAAAACTTGGCCACCAACTTAGAAATTATCAATCATTCTTTACAGCACTGAACATTATAATGTATTTTTTTTTTTGAATAGATCAAACATACACAAGCGTTGAATAGAAAGTGGGCTGAAGACAATGAAGTACAAAACTGTATGGCCTGTGGGAAAGGCTTTTCAGTAACCGTGAGACGGGTAAATGGTTTTGTTACATTGCTATGGTTCTTGATTTTATTTCTCAGTGACAATGTTTTAACCATCGAAATTGTCCTGCATTTGACAGATTTTAAAAGTTTTGCCATTTATTAACTTTAATTTACAACTACATAGAATTAAGTTTCATGAAATCTTGTTTCTGGTTAGTGTATGTGTCTCAATTTTAGTTTTAAATTCAGTTATTACCTTCCTACTGAGTTACTCTCTTGGATAATCATTTTCTGAACCAGTGCATCAGTATTAAACTCATGTTTTAGTCATCATAGGGTTCTCTTAAAGGAAAAAAAGCAGAGATAAAAAAATGACTTTAGGTCTTCCCTGGTGGCACAGTGGTTGAGAGTCCGCCTGCCAATGCAGGGGACACGGGTTCATGCCCCGGTCCGGGACGATCCCACATGCCGTGGAGCGGCTGGGCCCATGAGCCATGGCCGCTGAGCCTGCGCATCTGGAGCCTGTGCTCCGCAATGGGAGAGGCCACAACAGTGAGAGGCCCACATACTGCAAAAAAAAAAAAAAAAAAAATCATTTTAAATAATGCCATTATGTGATGTTTCAAGTTTATATTCCTATTGAAGAAATTATGCCTGAAACATTTTGTAAATAGGAATAATTTTTCACCTGATAGAAGTGCTTTATTAAGCACTTTATTAAGGCATTAAAATGCCTCCTAAGGTTCTTCTGAGAATTCCAAGATAAATTCCATATTAAATGTTTAGTACAGTATCTAATTAAATAGGAAGCATTCAAATTAACTAAGGGATTAAATCGACATACTGAGATTTTATATTATTAAATACTAATCACTTGAAAGTTAGTATACCTTCACAGTGAAGTTTGCTGTATTCTTGTAGTCTCATAATACTTTTGGTATAGTTTTTATGCTTAAAAATGTTTAATTTTTGTCATTTACAGCATCACTGCAGACAATGTGGAAATATCTTCTGTGCTGAGTGTTCAGCCAAAAATGCCTTAACTCCTTCTTCCAAGAAGCCTGTTCGTGTCTGTGATGCATGTTTCAATGACTTGCAAGGATAATGGGTTATCGCAACTTCAGAGTAATGTTACACTAACATTAGATTTTTAATAATACACTTAATAGATATCTTGGACTACTACTATTCGGTTTGGACAGTGGTTGCAATACTAAACCAAATTAGAATTCATATATTTTGGAATGTTATCAAGTAAAACTCTTCTATTTTTGTGAGACTCGAGCCCATCTTTCATTACTTTTTTCCATTTACTCCGGAATAGCTTTCATGCCAAGTTTAGAAGTAGCCAATGAAATGTAAATAAATTTTGGATGGAAATAAATTTTGGACGGAAAATAGCAATGTATTTTTTTAAATATAATTTCATTGTTCAGAAGTGACATGAATGCTCTTCCATAGCTTACTTCTTTCTCCCACATTTAGTATCAAGAAATGTACATGGGTGATGTTACCATATCAGATATGTTGCACAATAACACATTAATTATATTAAATATTCTCATTGTGAAATGCATAGAACTATAAAGCTTTTTTTCCCTTATACACAGGTCCATAGCTCAGTTGCATTGTTATGTTACAAATTTACTACTCAAGTGTTCCAAATACAGATTATATTTAAATATTAATTATGAATTCAAACATGGTTTTTATTTTAACAATATTGATTAAATTCTCTTGGGTGGATTTTATGAAAACCTCTGGAAAATTAATTTGCTTATTTTATGGTTATCCTTGGGTTGTATTTTAAAGATTAGGGTTAATTTTTCTTTTTGTCTTTTTCTATCTCATTTTTAAACTCCCACGTAGTCTTAAGAATCCTACAAAACTTCCCACCCTCATCCCCAGTTGGAAGGTGAATAAAAGAAGTTGTATAATGGTCGTATTCTCTGTTTAAGTGGGAAGTCTTCTGAGATTAGCCTTCATTTTATATCCTCATTTTGTCTCTCCAGCATCCTCAAGAATCTGAATTTGCTTTTTTAATGGATCTGCCTTTTTCAAGGTAATTTGGTTTAACCTTCTCAAGCATAGCTCAGCGTCACTGTAATTGTTTTATAGATTTTGCATCTTAAAGCTAGTAACTGATATTGCTATAGTCTTATCTGTGAAAACAAATACAAAATGGTAAGGAGACATTAAATATTCTGCTTTATATTTTCTGCTTTATATTCTCTTCTTACCTAATAGGGAAGAACTTTTTAAAGTTTTAAATTTGACTTAAATTTTAAAAGGTTCTGAATTTGGGGTTCCATATCAGCTAGGTATCTGTTTACTCTGCAAAAATAATGCTATGAAATTACCTTGAAATAACAGTTGGATAATAGAGTATCGCCAAAAACAGATGTATTTAGGAATCCCCAAATTATAACTAGAACTGAAACAGACTGGCAAATTGAGGGTAATTAAAAATTAGCTTATTTGGATGCTGAAAATGGAATTGAACTTTATCAGTCTTATTAATTTGGAAAATTGGAGAACATCTGAAGAGAGAACTCATTAATATTGGTTTATTACTCTAAGAAGAAAGTAAAGCTATATATTCATTCAGTGCAATCATTTGGTAATAGGGAAGGATGGGAGCTAATATTTCATTTACAATACATAGTTTATAATGTACACTTGCTTTCAAATATCATGCTGAAATTATGTTTATGCTCTTCCTATAATGTGTACAAACAAAGAGATTATTCATTTAATTATTTAAAAAACCCATTTAAGTAAACTCTGTTGTCAGTAGCTACTAAGGACCCTGATTGAGTCCCTGGACTCGGATAAACATATGTCCTTGAGCGTATAGAACGAAGAAATACAGTGGATCTTTATTAAAAATAAGTTGGATAATAAAAATTGAGCTAAAATTACTTATGCATTTTCATATAAATTCTTTCAAATAGTCTTAATTCTACACTTATAAGTAAATTAATAAGCATGTTGGAAACATTCACAGCACCATTGTTATTACTTTTTTATGATATGAAACTTTACAGGAATTCTTCTGGCTTAGAATATTTGTTCACTCATCTCCCAGTTGGGTGCACTGAAGGCCTATCCCTGTCTTGTCCCCCCACCCACATATTCATAAAAAATTGTGGGGACAACAAATATAACTATATGTATTTGAGTGATTTTCTACTTTTCATCTAGCTAATCTCACTTCCTAGGCCCCAAATAATTAGGCTATTATATTTAGAAATGAAACAATATTTTGCTATTAATCTCACCAATAAGGTGTTTTGGAAACAAAAATTAAACGGTTTTCTGTTTCTTTTAATTAAAAAGTCATCTTCTGAGTGCTTACTGGTTCGACATTTTAGATGTCTGCTGGTACTATTTGTCAGTGATTTAGAGCTGGCACGTATGGAGTCCCAGCTCTCAGCTCTAATGCAAAGCCTATTGGCATCACCTGTTAGTAAATTCTAAACCCAAGCACAGAAACGTGAGTTAAAATCAAGTCTTGCTGGGTTAATGTACACTAAACTACACCTACACCTACAGAATTTTTAGTAGAAAGAAGACAAAGCTGCTGGTATAGGATTTGTTTATTTTGAAGAAAAGAGGGAAACAAACACAACCACCTCAATGCAGTGTGTAATTTTGTTCAACTACCTCTTAATGTGGAATTAGCTAGTTTAATAGTTTCTTCACAGTAGTGTTGCATAGTAACTGCCAAATTTGTTAGTTCCCCATCTCTCTTGAAGAGGCTTTATTATTTTATAGTTTTGGGAACTTTAAAGCCACTTTTTTTTAACCTTGCATTTGCATAAAGATGTTTAGCTTTTAAGTGGAAAGCAAATTATGATCATATATTTTGATATTCATGACCTATTTGACTATAGCAGTTTTTTTTAAATGCACTTTGGCTATGAAACCATGGATGATTTGATCCATAAAATTTAAACGTGCCATCAATTTAGTATTCCTAGACAAGAGCTTGATGAATGGTATTCTGTAATTATATAATGTACCACACATTATTGTCTTAATTGCCCTTTGCCTGAATTTTAATGATCAGTTATTGCAAATGTGAATACTGTGCATAAACTTACTAAATTTATGTAAAATTGTATAAAGCAGAATTGGAAATAGCTAGGTCCTCTCCCTGTAGAAATAGTGAATTTACTGTAACATGATGCAGTTATGTATATGACATTCTGTACTTCTTGAACTGGATCATATATTCATAACTTCTGTAGATACTTTTGCATGAATATTTTGTTTAGTTTTTGGATTCATTGTATTGTTTACTTGTGATCATGTAGTTGTGCCTTATGTGTGAGAGAGTTTAGCTCAGTAAATACTGTGGTTTCTAAACTCAGTGAGTGGAAGGTTATTGATTATAAATGTAACTGATAAATTATATAACATTTGAATCTGTATAAAGAACAATGGAAGAATCCTTTATTGAATTGTTGCTTTTTTAAAAAATATGCTAAAGATATTAAAAATAATTTCTAGTATATTCTGTGACTAAATTATTTTGTCTATTTAAAAGATTAGCCATTTTACATTAATTTATTTACAGATTTAGAACTTTGCACTTGGATATAGACAATGGGTGTGCTTTATTATTTTAAATTAATTTTTATTGGGGTATAGTTGCTTTACAATGTTGTGTTAGTTTCTAGTGTACAGCAAAGTGAATCAGCTATACGTATACATATATCCCCTTTTGGGATTTTCTTCCCATTTAGGTCACCACAGAGCACTGAATAGAGTTCCCTGTGCTATACAGTAGGTTCTCAGTTAGTTATCTATTTTATAGATAGTATTAATAGTGTATCTATTTTATAGATAGTATTAATAGTGTATATATATATGTCAAGCCCAACCTCACAATGGGTGTGCTTTAATGTTCAACTAAGAATAGTAATTAAGTTCATATTTCAAGAGAAATTACTAATGCTATTTTGTTCGAGACAGCCCCTTTTCATTTCATTATTGAGAAAAATTAGCAAAACTAAAAAATATTAAACAATATTAATCTCTTCTTTCATTGTACATTTAATACCCAGGTGACCATTTAAAGGCTCAATGTACCATTGCTTTTTACTGATTTTTTTTCCCCTGGGAACCAAAGTTCCAGAAGTGATTTTTCATTTTACTCTGTGTTTCCCTCTGAAGACAATAACATGTATATATCCTCAAGCACTTAATATATTATATATTAGATATGCTCTTTTGTGAGCTTTATAGAATTTCACTTTAAATACATAGTATATTAAGTTTTATCTTATTGTGGTAAGAACAGTTAACATGAGATCTACCCTCTTGACAACTCTTGTAAAAGTGTACAGTACAGCAGATCTCCCGAGCTTACTCATTTTGCTTAACTGAAACTTTATGCCCATTGATTAGTAACTCCCCATTTCCCCCTACCCCCAGCCTCTGGCAACTACCATTCCACTCTTTTTGATTCTATGAATTTGAGTATTTTAGAAATCTCATATAAGTGGAATCATGCAGTATTTGTCTTTCTGTGACTGACTTATTTCCCTTAGCATAATGTCCTCAAGGTTCATCTATGTTGTTTCATATTGCAGAAGTTCCTTCTTTTTCAAGGCTGAATAGAATTCCATTGTATGTACGTACCAGAGTTTCTTTATCCACTCATCTGTTGGTGAACATTGTTTTTTCCATATCTTGGCTATTGTGACTAGTGCTGCAGTGAATACAGAAGTGCTAATATTTCTTTGTATATTGAATATTTTAAAGCTGTTTTACATCTTAACTAATTTACATGTTAATTTAGTCAATCTTTTTCTCCCTTTAATGAGATTTAAGGGAGAAAATAGTTTTATACATATAAACAAATATATGTTTACTGGACTCAGACTAAAAGGAATCTTGGGAGATCACCTAGTCCATTGCCCTTTTCCTAAGTTGGCTGATATCTAGAAATCCTTGCAAGACAATTGTTAATTTTTTTCTAAAAAAATACATATTTTTCATCTCTAAGAACTCACTTGAAATTTGTTCTCCTGTACTTTGCCTTTTTTTCTCATTTATTCTTAGGCATTGACCATAGTTACTGCCTTCCTGATTTTCCTTTCATTTTCACTTACTCCTAATAAATATGACATTATTATACATGGGCTGTGACCCTCCATTCTAATGGTGCTTGGCCCTTGAAAATAACTGTTATGCCGCACTTGTCTATACTGCCTGGTTTATATGGTGAAATCACATTTTTCTCAAAGAATTAACTGCATGTGACTTCCCCAAGCATCATCCTTTCTATCCCATTCTCCAGCTTAAGGAGATCAGTTAAGGTATAATTTGTCTTGCAGTCCAAGTTGATAAATTTACTACTTCCATTTTGGAAGCTGCAAAAGGTATCATGTCTGAAATTGAAATCTGTGGATTTCCTTTTGATATAATCTGACTATAAGAACTAGTTCCTTACATGCAGTTAATAGTATATTCCACCATGATAATAGTTCAAGCTCTCTTTCTTAAGAAATTCTAATGATGTTTCAAGTCCTGCCAAATAAGACGAAGTAACTGTACTGTGCTCTCACTCTCTCTCTCACACACACACACACACGCACTCAAAACCAGAAAGAAGTTTTATGACAAATTCCACTGTTCTTCAAAAAGTGAGATTTAGAGAAAGATATCCTACTATTTCTATGAAATTTCCCAAGTAAAACTGTTAACTGGTGAAACTGGAACAGATATTTGCTTTTTCTTTCTTAAAACAATGGAATTTAGTCTTTGGGATTTTCTCCTTCCATGTTAAGAGTTATATAAAGTATACCTGAGATAAATAAACTGTTGGTGACTAGGAATTTAAAAACTGCTACTAAGATGGAGACCTTATTATTCATTGCTTAGTATGTTAAAAGAGCAATCAAGCTTTGTATGAGGTAGGGCTGTAGAGCAGTAAGGCTGATTTATAAGTCATGTAGGAAACTTGGTTTCATTACAGATATACACAAAGTAAGATGCTAGAATTCATATCAGATGCAAGCAGTGGGCATTGTTTTCCTCCTGATGATACTGCATTTACCTGATTATTCACCTTTTACGAATTATAATAGCATCATACTTCCCTCACCCCTCTTGCAAGCCTGACTGAAGCATTATAACGTAGTCTGGATATCAGCATGTATACACTTACCAAGAAATTCCTTCTGGTTCAAATTTGTTGCAGCCATTATTACTCTACGCTGAGGAATTTCCTAGCTTAAATTCTGGAACTTCTTTAAAATGCACATTTTCTTTTAGCTCATCACTAGGTAAGTGTTACAAGTTTGAATGAAAGAATACCTTAATCCCCAATGTGTAAAAAGGTGTGCCACTTGTTTTGGGTCCTTAAATTTCCGAGGATTTTGCAGGCAAAGTGAATATGGACATCTTCTTGGTTTCCTGACTCTTGGTGAAGCAAGAGATTGCTGCTGTTAATTGTGCAATCCATGTTTTCTGTTAAGAAAGAAAAAATATATAGAGAGAAGAGAATGTTAAATTTCCCACATATTTGGATTAATGTTTTCCTTTGTATTTGTTGACGTGCTCTTTAAAACACTTGCCTATGTTTCCCATTTTCTTTCTTAAATCGAATATATCATAAATATCTCTAATCACATATGAAAATGCAAATGGATTAGATGAATATGGTATGCAAGTTAGATAAACAATTGTGAGTAATCAAGAAACCATAATAGTCAATGACGACTAATTACAAAGATGAATACTGGGAATATAAGTAGTTTGAAAGCTGAATTTCTTGAATTTCCACTTTGTGTAGAAACAGAAGTTCTTAATCAGTGGCATAACCTGAAAAACAGACTGAGGGAGGAAACTGACTCCTTGAAAATAATGTAGTCTTCCATTAATTGTCTGGCCACATTGCTGCCCTGATGAAAGCCTACCAGGGGAAAGAAAAAAATGGAGACTTCTAAGATAAAGAAACTAGAGTCAGATAGGCAGCTGCTCTTCGGCTCCATAGCTGTAAAAACAGTAGCATAGTTTCAAAGGGTGAAGAGAAGACTTGACACAGTTCATTTCTGCAGGAGCCCCTCACTTAAGCTGGCATCATACTGTGTGCATACTGGGGCTTTGGAAATTGATTGGAGCATCTTAAAAATCAAGCATGCAATCCAAAGCAGTTCTTCCCCCATTTCCTACAGACCTCCCAGAAGTCAGAGGCAGCTCTTGAGCTTCTGCCACAGGAAAAAATGAGGGAGGCTGTGTCAACACTAGGGATGTAAGAAGATGGTCAGTTCTGAGGTTTCTGAGCCTGGTATGGTCTAGATATTCATATCCTTCCCCTCCTTCCAACCTCCCCCCTTCCCAAAGCAGGAGAGGAAAATACACAAAACTTTCCATTCACTGTTCCTTAATGAGCTTGGGGTGAGATTTTTTTCCTTAAGTCTGAAGAATCAAAACCTACAAAATTGAAATACATACCTTGATGTTTTCTGTTTGGGCTTGTAATAAGAATGCTGCTATACACTGTCGATAGCTGTTTTCATGTTGTATGAGGAAAGAATTTCTCAGCCCAAAGACTAGAAAAAGATTAAAGACAAAAAGCCAAAGCATTTAATATGAAATCCAGTTCCTCAGTACAAGAACCTGGATTTTTGTTTGTTTATTAATGAGTGTGGGAGGTTTATGTCCATTAAAAAAGAATCTGATTCCAAGACCAAGACTTTACTGCTATGTCCAAAGAGAGACCACTTAAATATGAAAAGCTTTTCTTCCTTAGCCAATGACTTCTGGGGCTTGAGGAAATGCATTTATGGCTTAAGTGATGGAAAATGTATTCCTTCCCAAGGAAAAAGCTTAGCAAAATAGGTAGATTTTGTGTGTGTAAAATATAGATAATACAAATATGAAAAATAATACAATCATTGTTTCTTTGACCTCCACCACTCCTTTTAAAAATGTTTTATTTTTGTACTTAAAGGGAAGTCACATCAAAACAACAGTTAAGCAAGTTAAGATGTAGCAAAAATACAAAACCACCTGAATGCTTCACAGCAGTCCAAGAAAAGCCAAAAAAACAGACTCAAATAAAATCCAACATCCACCAAATTATGTGAAATGTAAAACAAAACAAAAAATGTTGGCATGGTTTCTGTGTTTGAAAAGAAACAGTCTGTTCTGTCATTTCCTAGCTGGTCTCTTAAAGAAATGATAGGAGATACTGGGAGAGCAGATTTTCCTCTTTTTATACAGCTGGAGCTCTTAAAATGAAAGCTTCTTCCTTGAATTATTTATACAGCACCAGGAATAAAATTTTGCAGCCTATACATTCTTTCTACAGTCAATTTATGTTCAGGAACAAACAAAACCAAACCAGGGCTGGCTCTGGGTCAAAACAAGTACTTCAGAGAGGAGGAGGAGAACACTGACTCTTCCTGGATGACCATTAAGCTGATGCTTGCTCACACTCATTATTTCTGTTCCTTGAAGTTTGTGTTTTGTTTTGTTTTGTTTTTGCGGTACACAGGCCTCTCACTGCTGTGGCCTCTCCCGTTGTGGAGCACAGGCTCTGGACGTGCAGGCCCAGCGGCCATGGCTCACGGGCCTAGCCGCTCCGCGGCATGTGGGATCCTCCTGGACTGGAGCATGAACCCGTGTCCCCCGCATCGGCAGGCGGACTCTCAACCACTGCGCCACCAGGGAAGCCCAGTTTGTGGGTTTAATTCAGACTCACTGAGGCAAGTTGGGCCTCATTTCAGAATCAAAGCAAACGTGAGACTTTTATTTTCTTAACTGCAAGAACTACTTCACTATTACAGATTGTAATAGACTAAACCTCATAATTCCTAAATTCTACCACAACAAAGCCTGTCAAGGTCATGAAATTCTGTCCAGCTTCTCTGGGGTGAGAGGACTTAAACCTATTAAAATGACTTTCTGGAAAAAAGATCTGGCTGTTTTTGTTTTACTCCCTGATTTTTCTCTTTATAAATTCCCTGTAGTAAGTGAGGCTTTAAAGATCAGGTTGTTGTTCTTGGCTGGATTTCAGATTCTATGTTCCTCAAAATTGTAACTGTAGTTCTCAGTTATTTAAGGTATCCCTCATCTGTTTAGTTTGTAATATGGCTACTAAGGGCTTAATAAACAAAAGGACCTGGTATGGCTAGGCTTAGAAAATAAAATAAGGAGATAATAAATGGTCAGGAATAGCTTTTTTCTCTCTGATGTTCTAATATAATGATTAACAATTAATAGTTGACATCATTTATTCAGCACCTACTATGTACTAGGCACAGTGCTATGTATTTTTTTCCTTTTTGTGTCATTTAAACCACACAGCAACTGTATAAGATAGGTCAACTAACTCCAAATAGCCAAAACAATCTTAAGAAAGAAGAATGGAGCTGGGGGGATCACACTCCCTGACTTCAGACTATACTGCAAAGCTGCAGTAGTCAAAACAGTATGGTACCAGCACAAAAACAGATACAAAGATCAATGGAACAGGATAGAAAGCCCAGAAATAAACCCAAGCACTTATGGTCAATTAACCTACGACAAAGGAGGCAAGAATATACAATGGAGAAAAGACTGTCTCTTCAATAAGTGGTGCTGGGTAAACTGGACAGCTATTGTAAAAGAATGAAATTAGAATGTTCTCTAACACCATACACAAAAATAAACTCAAAATGGATTAAAGACCTAAAAGTAAGACCAGATACTATAAAACTCCTAGAGGAAAACATAAGCAGGACACTCTCTGACATAAATTGCAGCAACATTTCTTTGGATCCATCTCCTAGAATAATGAAAACAAAAGCAAAAATTAAAAAAATGGGACCTAATTAAACTTAAAAGCTTTTGCACAGCAAAGGAAACCATAAAACAAAAAGACAACTTACAGAATAGGAGAAAATATTTGCAAATGATGTGACCGACAAGGGATTCATTTCCAAAATATACAAAGAACTTATAACACAACCCATCAAAAAATGGGCAGAAGACCTAAATAGACATTTCTCCAAAGAAGATACACAGATGGCTACAGGCACATGAAAAGATGCTCAACATCACAAATTATCAGAGAAATGCAAATAAAAACTACAATGAGATACCAGCTCACACTGGTCAGAATGGCCATTATCAAAATATCTACAAATAATAAGCTGGAGAGGGTGTGGAGAAAAGGGAATCCTCTTACACTGTTGGTGGGAATGTAAACTGGTGCAGCCACTATGGAGAACAGTATGGATGTTCATTAAAAAACTAAAAATAGCATTACCATATGATCCAGCAATCCTACTTCTGGGCATATATCTGGAAAAGACAAAAACTATGATTTGAAAAGACACATGCACCCCAGTGTTCACAGCAGCACTATTTACAGTAGCCAAGACATGGAAGCACCCTAAGTGTCCATCGACAGATGAATGGATAAGGATGATGTGGTGTGTGATGTGTGTATACACACACACACACACACACACACACACACACACTGGAATACTGGCCGTAAAAAAGAATGAAATAATGCCATTTACAGCAACACGGATGGACCTAGAGATTATCATATAAAGTGAAGTAAGTCTGACAGAGAAATACAAATATCATATGGTACCGCTTATATGTGGAATTTAAAAAAGGGATACAAATGAACTTATTTACAAAACAGGAATAGACTCACAGACATAGAAAACAAATTTATGGTTACCAAAGGGGAAAGGTGGGGGAGGAATAAATTAGGAATTTAGGATTAACAGGTACACACTACTATATATAAAATAAACAACAAGGACCTACTGTGTAGCACAGGGAACTAAGTTCAATATCTTGTAATAACCTATAATGGAAAACAATCTAAAAAAGAATATATATGTATGTATAACTGAATCATTTTGTTGTATACTTGGAACACTGTAAATCCACTATACTTCAATTAAAAAAAAAAAAAAGGTCAACTAATTCCCACTTACAAATAAGGGCACAGATTAGGTGAATTTTTCCAAGGTCACACAGCTTGTGAATAATATAGCCAGGATTTGAAACTAGGTCTCTGTCACTCCAAAGCACAATCTCTTCTTTTTTCACTTTACACTCTCACTCTACAGCTATTCTACCTCATGCTCTGTGTCTGAACAGTTAAAATAACCACCAGAGCAATGAGAAAAATATTTAAAAAACAGAAATGAAATGGTAGTGGCAAGTCAAAAAGTAACAAAAGATGGTGGAAGTATGGTTTTTAAAAAGGTATTGATTTTATTTAAAAAGAAAAAAAGGAATACAGGAGAAAAAACATGCATCTCCCAAGGGAATCCTGTGATGTCAGATTTCCCATAAAGTCCAGTTGGCTGGCAGGGCTGTGGCTGACCTGAGCCCATGCTGCTTCCCTCTCTTGCTTGGGGGATCTGACACCTTCCTCCACTCACATCCATTTATCATGGCAGAATCTTCTAACTATGGCCACTGTAGTAAGAAGGTTGTGCTCCTCTGAGATGCCCCCTTTTAGGCTTGCTCGGGAAAGCTCTCTGGTTTATGCAGACTTTGGCCTGTGACAGTGATTGGTCCGTGCCAAATCTAAGAGGCCTTAAGGGCTGCCCAGTTGCTTTTCAGCAAATCTTAGTAGACACAGAAAGAATAGACAAAAGAGGCAGAAGACTCTAGTTCTGGATACAGGTTTCCCCTCATTGGAGCCCTGCTGCTCTTGGGGAGAGAGTTTGCATCCATTCACGAGTTAAACATTTAAATATACAACTTACATAACTTAATGATGTGAATTTTTGCTATTATTATTATTCATTGGTGTATTCACTGTGTAATGTGGCTCTGCTGAGTACAAGCAGGTCCTGTGCTAATGACTGGTGCTCTGGGCTTGGCTGCTGGAGTGGGAACTGCAGGACATGGATGGTGCTCCCTCTTTTCCTGCTCCTCCCTTGGGACAGGAAGGCACTCCGCTCCTGCCTGGCTTTGCTGGTCTTCTAGGAGCCTGTACCCAAGAAAGAATGATGGATGATTCCTTCTGAACACTGCTGCCACCCACCCAGTACTAAGTAGGCCAGAATGTCCTTCAAGTCCCTCCGAGGCCCAGGGCTTTCCTGACAGGATTTATTGATCTTTCATTGCTCTGAGAGCTCCATCTTTGTAACTCCAGGGCACTTACAGAGTGCCTGGTTCACAGGAGACGCTCAGGAAATGCTTGAAAAATAAAAATATACATTTCTGATCTATACACATGATGTATATGTGTATATGTATGTACATGTACATATTTATATATTTATTTCTGGCATTTTTCTATAGAGCAATTGCAATAAAACATCTTAGGCTTGCATAGCATGTCATGGTTTACCAGTGCTTTAACAATAGCAATAGTACTAAAAATGGTTAACAGAATAACAATCCTAATAATAGCTATCATTTATTGAGTGCTTTACCTGCATTATTTCATTTAATTCTCATGACAGCTCACTGGGGTAGATATTATCCTGATTTTACCAAGATGAATCTGTGGCTTAGAAAATTTAAGTACCTTCACACAGGGTCACACAGCTAGCAAGTGGCAGAGCTGGGTCATCCAAACATTGGAAGCAAGTCCAATACTCTTTCCATAAGTAGCCTGTAGAGTGAGTGATATTTAGCTACACAGGAACCCAGTATTATCTTTCATGAAGATTTAAATTAGATTCATGTCGTGTTACCAAAAAAGGCCAACATAAAACTCTGGGATAGCAAACAGATGAGCTGAATGATGAAAATAGACACATACCTGACATGTGGAGTGGATCGAGACCTCTGACAACCAATCTGTCTAGTGGAATGGGCTGATCGAGTACCATACATGAACCACCTTCTTTGATTACTGTTTGTAGCTCAGGAATAAGTGAAGGGCACGTTAAACCTGGGTCTGAGCCTCCAAGTTTCTAAAATTAAGGAGGAAAATAATGCAATAAGTAGGAAGTAAATATTGATGCACATACTTCAGGTACATCCTTAAGTAAACTGATTTTTAGAAACAATTGCTTGAAATCCAGCTTACTATTCTTTCTGGGTCTCGAAAAGCATTTCCCAAAGTACACAGTGATTTAAAGCATAGTGGTTCTGATCCCCAAGTTTAATTACCTGAATAAATAACAGTGTAATTTCATAGCTGGGAAACATTTAAATCATTATCACATCAATGGGAAGATCTTCATTTACAGTAGTATCCCTCTGTGGTACTGAGTTAAATGAACAAGAAAGAGAAGCCTCATGTTGGCCAACTCTGTCCATGGGATCTTATACTAAAATCTAAATAAATAAATTCCATGCTCTATGATTTGTAAATAACTGAAATTGTTTTGAATATATAAAATACTGAATTTTTTAAAAAAGGGTGTCAGAGATTGGGATGTACGTGAAGTAATTTGTGCATTAAATAGCGAAGAGAAATTTAAAACATAACATTCCTTATTTCTTCTTCCAAAAAAATAAATGAAACCTGGTGTCTTCTCCGGGTGGTTCTCTCAGATTTATGAGACGGAAGAATTTAAAGAGGAATTTTAAACAGATAACATTACTTATTTTGGAATCAAGTTGTGAAGCATGAAACCAGAACATTATCTTATAATATGGCCAATAATGGGCTGCCACTAGTTCATGGCTCTGATTTGTGCCATTATGTAAAGAGAAGGTAAGCTGTGCTTAACGTCAGGTTTTAGAAGGGGACAGAGATTTTTCAGAGCTTGTCTGTCAGACATGCTAGCCTGGGTAGCTGAAAATAAGAGGCCATCCAAGTCTCAAAACTGTGACTTAGTATTCTCCAACACCCATTCCCCCCTCAACCACTGATCAACTATGCACGGATTAATGGGTGTCTATTTTATTGCTTAAAGACACTTAAATTATTTAGCTCAACTAACCAACATGCCATCTAAAAGCTTAGGTTATTAAAAGATCTGAGAGATCTAGTCTCATAATCTTACATCTGTGTAAGGCTAGTCGTTTCGTAAAGAAGTGAGTGGGTTAGAACAACATTAGTTATCTCCAACAGCCAAAAACATACTGCAGATCCTCTTCCCATCTCTAAGGGCAGGTGTCTGAGAGCTGTAGAGGAGGCCTCTTCCTGAAAGCACTCACACACACAGTCAGGGAAACTGTGAAATGGGACGTTAGATAGAAAGCCTTTGGTGGACCATGAGACCCATGGCTTAACGGGGAGTAACAACAGTAATGGTAACCATTAATACTTAAGGGAGAAATCCCTATTCTTAGAAGGGATTTTGTGGCTCTAGCCCCTGGTGACTCGTTTTTTTCCTGTGATGCCAACTGTACGTTTGTTTGGCTTCTGCAGTTCTTAATTATAGGCAGACACTGAGAGACCAGGGCTCCTTCCCACCTGCAGCCCCCAAAGCATCATTTCTCAGGAAGAACGTGAGAAGGGGTGGTGGATATCACCTCAGCACTTGGCAGCAGACAGTTTAGAGAGGCCCCTGCTCTGGCAGCTTTTGTTGTGGTAGTCAATTTGGATGAGGAAAAGGCGGATATGGACAAAAGTATCTTAATTTTATTTGCTGAGGCAGGCCAGGCATAAAGTCCTGTGGCTTCTGGGACTCTCCTCTAAAGTATACAGACTAAGTCATTCTAAAAATATACACACCCTTTGACATCCTTAAGAAATGGGACTTGCTTTTGTTACTGTTTTCAGTCTAGCACTCTACGATGGAAAAAGCCAGTATTTTAAAATGCCTCCATTTTTTAGAGGGTAAAGTCCGATCTGATGTATAAGAAACTTTTCTCTTTTTAACTCAACTTATTCAGAAATATTTCTAAACTCATTTAGCAGAATTATTGAGAGACAACAGCATTTTACCTTTTTGTTGCGCTTAGTTTTCGTAACTAAGAGGAAATCATCAAAGAGAAACAGATAAACATCTAGGAATCTTGTGCTTTCTGAGGAAAGAAAGAAGATGAAATTGGGGCTGGAAACAGTAAGCAGAGTTTTTTTTTTCTTTCCTTTTAAATCAAAGAATCCCTTAGAAAACAACACAGGCCAGGGATCAGGGCACACGAGGCTTGCAGCTCAGGGGGCTACAATCACGTGGGTCAGAAAACTGCATTATGGTTGAATTGATTTCTCCCCAAGGCAGGGACTTGATGTGAGCCCACCCTTCCAACTTTAAAGACAATGTATTTGTAAGGCATTTCATGTGGATCTAAGGTTACCTGGATGATATTTGTCGTGGTTTCAGCTAAGCCTAGGACACATCTATTGACTAACAGAACTCCAGCATTTTGGCCTCTTGACTCATCTGTGTGGTCATTGGCAAAGGTATACATTACCAGAAAAAAAGGCACTTTGTCATAGCTGTGGGCTGAATTGCATCTCCCCCAAATTCTATGTGGAAGCCCCTACCCCCCTCCCCACTGTGTATTTGGAATAAGGAAATAATTAAGATTAAATGAAAGCTTAAGGGAGGACCCCTGATCTGACAGGGTGAATGTCATCCCCAGAGCATGCGCTCTCCCTCTCTCGCTCTCTCTCTGCCACGTGTGGACACTGAGAAAGCTGGAAAGAGAGCTTTCACCAGAAACTGAATCAGCTGGCAACTTGACCTTGAACTTCCAGCCTCCAGAACTGTGAGAAATAAATGTCTGTTGTTTAAGCCACCCAGTCTGTGGTATTCTGTTATGGCAGCCCTAGCTGATTAAGACAGTCACTAAAACAATTTGTTTCTTAAGTTTTACAATGTGTCTATACAAGCATTAAATAATCTTCATGAAGCTTTATATTTACAAGTATATTTCTGATATCACTTTTGATAATAACTGAAGGCAAATAGGCTTTTCTACTTTTCCCTAAGAAGGGGATACTTGTAGAAGAGAAATACAATATTAGAATGAGATATCCCCCTCTCAGTTTAACTCTATCCCTTAGAAATTAGAAAAAGAAATGTTTAGTGAAGTCAGAAAGAGAAAAACAAATATCGTATATTAACTCATGTATGTGGAACCTAGAAAAATGGTACAGATGAACCGGTTTGCAGGGCAGAAATTGAGACACAGATGTAGAGAACAAACGTATGGTCACCAAGGGGGGAAAGTGGCAGGGCGTTGGTGGTAGTGGTTGGATGAATTGGGAGACTGGGATTGACATATATACACTAATATGTATAAAATCGATAACTAATAAGAACCTGCTGTATAAAAAAATAAATAAAATTTAAAAATTTAAAAAATAAAGAAAAAAATTAAAATTAATTTTTTAAAATTAAAAATTTAAATTAATTTTTAATTTAAAATTAATCTGACAAAGGTTACCCTTTCTAAAAGTTCCAAAAATAGTAATTTATATTAGCATACCAAAAAAAAAAAGAAATGGTTAAATTTAAATGATTTTAGAGGAACATGCAGTCCTTGAGGGGGATGTGACAGGCACTTAAAGTACAAGAAAAATCAGTAAGTATTTTTTATTATTCTATTTATTTTCTAGAAGTTCTTTCTCTATACATTTACCTGTGGAAATGAGACGTCTAAGGTTAAATTAATAAATAAAATATCTGGGATTCATTTTTAGTCTAAGTTTAGAGGAAAGATACTTTCTGTATTTGCATAGAAGAGAAATTAGATATTTTACTCAATCTTGAATCGTCCTTGAATAGTTTTGTTTTAATGTCCTCCATCACTACTAGAAACTCCTTTTTGCAAACTGGGCTGCAGCAAAGACTGCTGGTTGTCCCTTCAAAACCATTCTTCCCTTCTTTTGCAGTAATAACATTTCCAAGTTTTAGTGGGTAGACGCTCACTGTGAATAAATACTACATCTCCCAGCTTTCCTTGTAGCTAAATATGACCAAGTGACTAAATTCTGACCAATGGAATATGAGCTAGAACGTAGGCACACTGGTGACTCATCTTGGGGCCACAGAAGAAAGCAGTCTCTAGGATGGCAGAGCAAAAGGACATAAGAAACCTAGATCCCTTGTGGCTTCATGGAGTAAAGCTGTCATATCATATAGCTCAGAATTTTACATGCGAGATAAATAAACCGGTCTGTCTCCAAGAGCTGGCTTAATATCCTAACTAACACATGGGGTGAGGAATGGGGCTAGACCTTTAAGACCTGTTAAATACTGCTTTCCTCACCCTCTGCCACTCCTATCTGATTAGGTGAATGATCATTGTCAAAATGAAATAGCTTTGTTTTCTCCTTCTAACTTCAAGTATTTTAACAAACAGGTGTGAGCATCTTCTATGTCCTAGACTTCATTCTAGGAAATGATGATTATTTTAGCTACCGTTTATTAAGGCCCTAGTTTTCCACCAAGCAGTCAGCAAATACTGAGCACCTCCTATGCATCGATGATTAAGACAAAACCTCTCCTTCAAAGAGCTTTAATTATAGTGGGAGGAGCAGATACATAATAAACAGAAACAAGATTTAAGATAAATTCAAGAACTGATAGTGCTAAAGTAAATACGGGATTACGAAAAAGGACGACTAAGGAGGAAGACTGTAGGCATAAAGTTAGAGTATTCACATTTATTATCCCAGGAGTTTCAAGCTATGTGCCACACAACCAGATCTGAGACTTACAAACGTGTGCAGTTCTAACTCGATTAGGTCTTTATTTTTTCTCAAAGAGTCTGGCCTGTGGGGTTTTCATCACACTGCTAGAGAACAGAGCAGCGTCACTGACTTATTCTGGTTCTGCAGCAGCTTGAACAACGTGTGTTCTCTAGGTGCTACAGCTGCTGTGCCATCCTATTTGTCTGAACGTTACCTCTTTTTCTATTTAGAAATACCAGTCTGTGGGGAGTAATGCATTTGTGAAGGGCGTGCTGGCATGAATTCCAGTGGGAAGCTGGTTATGCTCCAAAAGTTATAAAAACTTGGACCTTCTGGGAATGAGAAAATGCACTTAATTTCAACACCACAGTTTTTAAGGCTAGAAGAAATTTGAAACATATTAAGCGGTAGATACCATCGTCATGGTTATCACTATCACCATCATCATCAACATTTACAGGAGAGATTAAGAGAATTTAAACAATTTCCCCAAAGCCCACAGTTGGGGCTAGACCCCCTAATTCTTGGTCCAGTGCTTCTTCCATTCAAAATGATGTCCTGTTTCTTTTAACACTATTACCCCCACCGACACCATATCTCTATGCTAACTCCGAGCCAAAGTCCCAGTGACTTTAAACTTGGTTTGACACTACTATACGACACACCCCTCTCTGATGAAATCTGACTAACAGCATGTGCTGTCAGACAGGAGCCTGGTGTTAGTAATGGTTACGTAGGTCATCCCCATTCTACCACATCTGACTCTACAAGAAACTTTTCCTGAAAAGTTGGGTTGAACCATAACGACTCCTTCTTAGGCCAGTCTCCCACCCATGCTTCCATGACAAGCACCCCCATCCCACTTGATATGTGAATACACATCTGACACGGCTTTGCACCAAGAGATTTTTCATGGTCATGTTCATCCAGCCTCTACATGGCCTCCCATCACGTCCACACCTGAACGCTAAAACTGACTCCCTGACCCACTCCCTCCGCCACCCTCAGGGTCATCTACCAACCTTTCAGGTAGATAGATAGACAAGCACACTTGAAGGTCCTTCGACTCATTTCCTCTTCATCCATTTTATCAATCATAAAGCCCTCCTGTTTTTGCCTTTGAAATAGCTCTCACATTTATCCTTTTTCATCCACGCCCATTTTTAACATTTTAGGGTAGGCTGGTGGGTCTCACAGTTGGGAATTTGGTAGACAGAGGGAAGAGGGGAAATAAAATCTCTGGTGATTCCAGGTGGAGGCCAGCTTTGCAGGGACAGGCACGGGATTGTACACAGAACTGTGTCTTGCTTTATGACTTTTGGTTTTGGTTGGATCTGGCTTTGTCACAATGATATAATTATTTTTGAAATTGTAAAAGAAAGGGTAAGATTGTTATCTTTCCAAACGAAAGTGGGAGGGGAGTGGTCTACAGGTGGAGAATGGTTGAGAAACACAGGCCCAGGCTCTTCCCACCCCATCCTGCGTCACTATGGCGCCTTCAGGCTGGCCTCTCTGCTTTGGTCTCCTCTTCTAGCCATTTTGGGCATTGCTTCCCATAGCTCTTTCTCCAACACCCTTTTAAGCCTCTCATGTCCCCGAGCACTCAGCGGCTTCTTGTTGCCTGCAGTGTCCTGGCTGGGTCCCTCTGGCTTTCAGGGCAGTGGCTATGGTTCTGGAAGCCTGCTAGGGTGAGGCAGCCTGGCCTGGGTCTGGATGCTGCCATTAGCTTGCCAAGGGACCCTGAGCATGACAGACAACCTCCCCGAGTCTCCCCTGTGACATGGGATGAACTGTAACTTCTCTGCATAACTCACTGGAAGGAAAACATGCATGAAAAAGCCCTTTGATGTAAAAAGCTGGGCATGTCTATCTTTCGAGTTGGCAGTTGTCTTGCGGGGGTTATGTCCCAAGCTGACATCTGGCGCTATCCCTAAAATAGAGCAGGTTCTCAACAGGTGTGTGCTGAATAAGGAATTACTGCCTGGCACCCCCCAAAAGATCTCAGGCAACCTCACATCCCACAGGGCTTCACACACCGCAGGTGCTCAATCAAGATTTTGTGAAGAAATGAATCAATGAATGAATGCAAATCTTATTTCAGTCGGGTAGCCCTTTCTGATAATATTTACTGAGCCCTGACTCTCTGCCAATGGTTCTTTCAAGTGCTTATACATCCATTAGCTCATTTAATCCTCACACCAAAGAGGGGACACTGCAGCATGGGGGGATTGCTGTTAAGTGGCCCCAGGTTACACAGGCAGCAAAGGCTGAGCTGGGAAGGGAAGCTGGCAGGCAGCCTCGGGGATCTCCCTCCTAACCACGCTGCTGTGAGCCTATTCTCTCAAGTGGCTTCTGCCTCCAAGCCTTTTCTCTTGCTGTGCTTTTCATCCGGGATGTCCTCCCTCCTGTCCTTTCACTGAACTACACCCTTCTATCCCCCCGAAGCCCACCTCCAGTCCCATGGACCACATGAAGCCTTTCCTGGGTACTCCAGCATCAGACTCTCTTCTGGACTTAGACTGCAGGTCTGCTCATTATGGCAGCGCTTCCCAACTAGAGGGAAAGGATTATCCAGAATAGTGACTTTTCTATCCTCCAGTGGTACCTACACAATGCAACGTGTGTTACATAATAGGTTCTCAGTCAATACTGAGAGTATGATTGCCCAGCTCACTGGAGGAGTAAAATGAGGGTGGTAACAGCTGACACTGAGTGGTTACTATATTCCAGACCTTGAGCTAAGCTCTTCACGTGTTACTTCACTTTAACATCCAGCTTGTAAGACAGATATCATTATCCTATTTTACAGAGAGAAAATGGAGGGCGTGTGGCTAGTTACGTCGTGGTTTGATCAAGCTGGAGTCTGTGTGACTCCATAGGATGCTCTCTGATTCACATCTTCCATCGCCTTGGCCATACAGAAATACAATTCTTGTCACCCTTCGATAAGCAACAGTTGGACAAATCACAAGGTAGCAAAGATGTTGGGTTTGTAAAGGAAGCAGTTACTTACCTGCAAGAGTTAATTTTCCTTCATAGAGAAGGTGTCTGTTGGTTGCTGACAGGATGTTTTCTGCCATGTGTTCTTTAAAAACGTGTTTCAGGCACTGGCAAAAATCAAAGAGATGTTGTTAGTGATGGGAGGACAGCATATTCTAGAAGCTGGGGCAATGTACTCTGTTTAGAAAGTTCCTGACATTTGGAAATGCCAGTAAATGCACATGGGAATGGGAAAGAATGGGAAAAATGCTTAGAAGGACCAGTTCAGGAATGGCATGAGGAGGTCAGCCTCCCCACACACAATGTCATGTGGATGAATCCTTTACTTCTTGCTAGATTTTTAATTCTAGTGGGCAGCTGGGGACTTTGTAAGACTAGTATACTTCCACTTGAATGCCAAACGTTTAGAAAGGGACATAGGTTCTAATTGATCCTTTCTGTACCTCTGGAATGAAAAACCTTTTATCTCTATCCCAAAGTGGAGGCCACACTATAATCTCCTGTAGATGTCTGCATTTTTGAAAATTGTCAAGCCACTTCACTTTTCCTTCAAGATCCCCTGAAAGACAAGACACATCCAGTATATTTTTAAATGCATGAGGCATTACAGCATAAAATTTAACCAAGATCCACAGGAATCATTTAGAGATATTGACCGCCCCTGGAGCCAAACCATATCTTAGGTTCATTTAACATATTTCTTGCTGTTTAAATGCCTTAGAAAAACTCACTAATTTGAAATCAGCCTCTTGCAGAGACAAATGAAGCTGAACTAATTTAACTCAGTAAGTTGAAAATGTATTGTGCATTTTTATTTCAATAATACTAACAGTTTCCCTTAGTAGCTTTCTCATATTCCCTACATCACACAGCTTGTGATTACAGGAAGGGAAAAAAAATCAGACTAACAAGGACAAACATATCCTTTTGTCTTAATCATAAAATATATATTCACTTTATGGTAAGGTTGATTATTTCTTTTGGTAAGAACTCATTTTCTCTTTGAAGGTCTATATTAATTTTCCAATGTTTTTTAATAACATATTGCTATTGAGGTTTTGAAATGATTTTTGAAAACATGGAGGGCAAGTCGTAAACCCACAGAATCACATGGTTAGGGAATCCTTGAGAATTCTCCATCTTTAAGCTTTAAAGGAAGGTCACAGGGATCTCTTTCCCCAACAATGAGAATTCATTTTATTGAGAAATTCCTAGAAGAGATGTTATCTCCCTCACAAACTTATCAAAATGAGTAAAAATCTGCAAAATTACTTTAAAAGTTTAAAAAAGTCTGTCTTTAACTGAATTTTTTGTCTTAATCACTTGATAAGCTGAATTCTAGTTCCTTGGGTTATTTTAGAATTTCAACAAAAAATTTTTAAAAAGGAAAGAAACTCCTAAGTGAATGGTCATTTTATTTTTAAACATGCAAAAGAAAAAGAAATATGTCATTTCTGTACAGCTGATAATCATCATTTTGAATTGTTCCCTTTTGATGCTCCCCAGGAAATCTTGGTTTATGGACATATACCACGAACTTCTTTATTTGAATTTGATTATACAGAGCTACCCAAATAAACTTAAGTCATCACAGGGCTTTCTCTTTTCCTATTCCCAAATTTCGGGTCTAAAGATTGCAGTTGGCATTATATTTAGATTGGCCCTGGATTTCGGTGACCTAAAAAAAATGACGGATGGTAATTTATTCTCCGGAAAGGCTTCCCATGCTGTTTACTCCCATTTGCTTTGTGTGTGGGTTCAGTATGGATGTTAAAAACAAAGTGCCTTCATCAACTGGGAAGTAGAACTTTTCCTGCCTGAACTCACATCTGAAAGCCTTGGAGACGGGGCCACGTCCTGCGTGAACTTGGAGTTAAGAGTTCTCATAGGGTTCGCCAGGATGTGACTGGAGCCCATTGTTTTGAGCGTGTTTGATTTACAATGCAAACTCAAACTGGAATCCACATTTCGGAAAGCCATGACCTCAAGGCAATGGAATTACCTCCTAAGATGGAAGCCCAAATGGTTCCCAGGAGCCAGAGGGTCCCCCAACTCTTTGATTAAAGCTGACACTGGAGCTCTGGGTCACTCATCTCAGGGACTTACAGATTGACTTTTCCACCTTTTCCTTGATGGAGTAGATCATGATTTTCTCCGTAGAGTCTGTACTCCTTTTCCAGATGCTCTTCAGCAACAAGGGTCTCAAGTCAGCCTGTGTAGTGGGGCCACTAGGAGCTCAGGTAGGTGAAGGCGTCTGCACTGTTCATTGTCCTCACACCACTGGGGAAGACAAAAGCAGGTGGATCAGAACATCACTTCTCCTGTCAAGACACTGAGAAGTCCGGACACAAGAAACCCTTAGAGACTTCACTCAGTAATGACATGACACACCTGTGAGCTTGCTAGGAAAATTTATAAGCCATGGACTAGACTTTGCTTTTGAAAATTCCATATTAAATTGTCTTAGCAAGCATCTATCTACCAGTACTAAATTCAGGGTCTGAAATGGGTTTTTTCAATGTGCTTAAGAAGTATTATTGAATATTACTGACTGAAACATTGCTGCTTTCCAATTAAAGAAATGAAAGAATCTTCCTTCAGATATCTTGCCTTCCCAGCAATGGTGATGAAGGATGAGGTCATCAGCACCACCTATAACACCACCCCCTCAATCCTCCTAAATGGGGAAACTGATGTCAAGATTTGAATGCACAGGAAAAGTCTGAATTTGGTTAAATCCCCTAGAAACTGCATACTCCATCAGTGGCCATGTAAGATGTATTAATACACATATTTCAGGCTTGTTTACCCTTGTCACTGAAGAGTTTAGTTTTGCCCCTTGCCTTCTCCTTTTCCCTGGCCCTTGGGGGAGATTTCTGGTTTTGCCAACTGTGCTCCCACTCTTGCTGCAATGCAGTTAGGAGAACTGAGAGTCAACACTACACAGGTAGACAGGAAAAGGAAGGATTTTTGCTTCGTGGGTCAGTTCCTTGACTCCTTTGTTGGAGGGAATCAGGATAATGAAGAGAAAATGAAAATAGAAGTTGAGGACGCTAAATTGTTCTACATGATATAGAAAAGATAGAAGAGGGAAAAAGACGTAGACAATTGTCAATAGGGAGAGTTTGTTCAAAGAGGCAGTTGCCACGAGTACACACAATGGGGAATACATGAAAGGAAACTTTAGTAAGTATTGCTATGGGTGATACACTGGATTTCCATAAATGGTATTTTGAGAAATGCAAGCAACATGAGAATAGCTCCTCCATTTGTTTCATCTGCTGGACTGTTTCTTTGAATGTGACACCGTTTGAACCTGAGGGGTCCCAGCCTTTGTGCAGGTGACACATGACGCCTGGAGCCAGGTCTGTGGCTACTGCACACACAGGTACATCAAGAAGTATTATTAAGGGTGTGTTCACTTCCTCTTCTCTCCTCCCACCTGCTCACACCATACTGGTCCTGAGTTCAGCTCTAAATGGATCCTGCTCTCACACTAAATATTTTTCTTGCTGCGGGCTGTCGCCTCTTCCCTCTTTCATGCTCACTTCAGGCCCAGGTTAAGTCCTGACCCTCATGACCCAGACCCTCAAGACCAACCTCAGGTAGGTCAAGGTACAGTCGGTTCTACTATCTGTAGGTTCTGCATTCTGAAATTCAATGAACTGTGAACTGAAAATATTTGGGGAAAAAAATTCGAGAAAGTTCCAAAAAGCCTGAATTTGCGGCACAGCAGCAACCATTTACATAGCATTTCCACTGTATTTACAATATTTACATAGAACTTACCTTGTATTAGGTATTATGAGTAATCTAGAGATGATTTAAAGTATACGGGAGGATGTGTATTGGTCATATGCAAATACTATACCATCTTATATACGGGACTTGAGCATCCTCGGACTTTGGTATCTGTCAGGGTTCTGGAACCAATACCCTGTGGATACAAAGGGACGACTGTGCACTGTGGAAGGCTCCCTCTGCTTTCCCAAAGATATCTTCATACATCTTTATGCCCAGGTGTCAGCCCTTGCATTTCAGAGAGGTCGGTACAATTGGCTCAAACCTCCAACAAGTCCAAAACTCTCTTAGATATTTATAAACAGATATTCCAATGGCTTCTTCTGGCCCCTGGGCTCCTGTTTGTACACATTCTGTTTCTTCGCTGAACAGCATGGGCCAAATGCCACACTTAGCCCTTTGGTAGGTTTCCTGTGTCAGTTTCCACTGTAAACCCACTCATGCCAAACAGTTTATGAGTGTATGTGTTTATTTTACTGAAGATTTCAGATCATGGGGAGGGCTCACAGCCCACAGTCACCACCCACCACCCCATTTTGCTGGCTCCATTCTCTTCTTTGAAAGGAGAGAGCTCTCTCTCTCTCTTTCCTCTCCAACTTTCCCCTTTTTCTCTCCTAGCCTCGTGCTTTGCAATTTGTCATGGTCTTTCATAGCCTGACCATGTCCCTGGAGGGTCGTACCCTCCTACAGTAGCAGCTTTATCACATTTCTTTTAGAAACATCCGGGACTCTTCCTTACAGGAGTTCTGCCGGGAGTGATCTTTCCCACCTCCCCACCTACAAATGGCAGGTCAGAAAGGTGCATGGAGGATGGAGCTCTAGGGGCCAGGCTTCAAGGCGGAGGGACCAGCCCCCCATCTCTGCACCTCAGATTCTTCTTTAAAATGGGGGACGGCACTAGATGACTTCCCCTCATCCAGCTCAAAATGGCTGTGATTCTCATTGGGGCTGGAAGGGATGAAGGGAGCAGGGACTGCAGACGTGGAAAGGCTGGAAGTGGGGAGGAGTGGAAAGAGGAGGTGTGGAGAGGCTGTAGTCTGTGTGGCCTTAGTGGCTGATTTCCATGCTGAGTCACTAGCAGCAGCAATCCAGCACTACCTGCTGGTCCTTGTGGGAGGCTGGGGAGTTCCAGTAACTGATTTCTCAGCAGCAGTTAGGGATTCCCTCAAAACACACAACCCTGAGCCACTGCTCCAAATTTCCATGTTGTAGGGAACAGCTCTGGCTGCCAGTACCCACCGGTGTTCAGGGTAAATATAAAAACACCTAATCTCCCCCACATATCAATCAGAAAAGAAACACCAGTGGTAAATAATTCAGACAAAGATCCAGGCAGAGATACTGGAAGCCTTTAGTGTTTTGGAAGGTCTCAGAAGAGCAAAAAAAAAAAAGATATTTGATGATTCTAAAAGTAAAACTATAAGTTTTTTTTTCCATCTCTCTATTGGCTTTACTTTTCAGAAACATTAGGGGAAGAAAAAAAATTCTGTCATGAGAGATTGGACACAAAAGTCCTTTTCGTGGATGGGTCTAGATCAATGGACTCTGCGTCAGTTTTATAATAAATAAACGTATAGGTGGGAGATCAAGATGGCGGAACAGAAGGACACGGAGCTCAATGACGCCCACAAATACATCAAAAATACATCTATACGTGGAACAACTCTCACAGAACACCTACTGAATGCTGGCAGAAGACCTCATACAGCCAACACTGCGAGAAAGATCACCGTGTAACCAGGTAGGACAAAAGAAAAAAAAAGAAAGCAGGACAGGACCTGAACCCCTGGGAGGGAGCTGTGAAAGAGGAAAGGCTCCCTTCACCCTGGGAACCCCCTTCACTGGCTGGGAGATCAGCCGGGACAGAAAGGGAGCTTCAGAGGCTCAGAGGACAGTGCAGCAACCAGCTTACAGCTGGCAGGAGAGAGAGACACCAGCACACCTGGTCCTGGCCACCTTGCTGCACTCCCCAGCCCAAGACATGTGTCTCCTGGTATGAGTGGAGGCTGGGTGCTGAAACTTGGGCTTCAGTGGACAGAGCTGGGGAGAGGACTGGGGGTGGCTCTGTGGAGAAGCTGGAGGGGCTGGAGTGTGGCCTGGGCTGCAACTGGGGCTGTGTGCAGGATGAAGCCTGGGTCCACCAAAGAAGCCCCACTGTTAACAAGCCCTTGAAGGGAGGAGTGGGGCCCCACCAGAGCAGCCTCACCCTCACAGTGCTCGAAGTGGGCAGGGCTCCGCCTCTACGAATTCTGTGCCAATGGATCGGCGCTGGTGGCTTTGTGAGCACAGCACCTGAGGGACATCCAGCCTGACTGCCTGCATTCCCATGGCTGAGGAGGACCTGAGGGCAGTGCCAGCAATGGTGTACTTTCTGAGCACGCACAATGGGTGATAGATGACACCACAGATCACACTTGCCGGTGGACAGCTCCTGAGGAGGAATACTCAGTGACTCCCAGTGGGAGTGCTCCAGTACTGCCTACCTCACACCACAGCTCAGAAACAGACATGGGGGCTTCCACCCCAACAACTGGGAAGCAGGCCCTGTCCCAACAAGGCTGTGACAAGCACAGAGCAAAGAGGAGGCCCCACTCAACGTCCAGTGCAGGCTCTGGTCACCACAGAAACAATAACACCCCCTATTGAGGGGATAACCACCAGCATACATGGAGGAAAGACATGGCAGGCATCCATACTAAAAACAGCCCTTGCACCAAAAATATTACACTCACACAGACTACAAAGGGAGGCTTTCACATAAAAACAGCCCTTCAAGACCACAGTAGATAACTGTTTCTCCTAAATTCATAAAGTCAAAGAAATATAAGCAAAACAAAGAAGCAGCGGAGAGTCATTGACAGGAAGACACTGGATCTCACCAAAAAAGATACCCCGCATCCAAAGAAAGGAGAAGCCACAATGAGGTGGTAGGAGGGGCACAATCACAATGAAATCAAATCCTATAACTGCTGGGTGGGTGACTCACAAACTGGAGAACACTTATACCACAGAAATCCACTCACTGGAGTGAAGGTTCTGAGCCCCATGTCAGGCTTCCCAACCTGGGGGTCCGGCAATGGGAGGAGGAATTCCTAGAGAATCAGACTTTGAAGGCTAGCGAGATTTGATTGCAGGACTTGGACAGGACTGGGGGAAACAGAGACTCCACTCTTGGAGGGCACACACAAAGTAGTGTGTGCATTGGGACCCAGGGTAAGGAGCAGTGACCCCATAGGAGACTGAGCCAGACCTACCTGCTAGTGTTGGAGGGTCTCCTACAGAGGCAGGGGGTAGCTGTGTCTCACCGTGAGGATAAGGACACTGGCAGCAGAAGTTCTGGGAAGTACTCCTTGGCGTGAGACTTCCCAGAGTCTGCCATCAGCCCCACCAGAGAGCCCAGGTAGGCTCCAGTGTTGCGTCGCTGCAGGCCAACAACCAACAGGGAGGGTACCCAGCCCCACCCATCCGCAGTCAAACGG